GAGAAATTCCTCACGCTCTCGACGCTCAATGTGCTCTGAATTCTCCACGCAAAAATCAAAATCAATAAATAATGATCATTAAAATCCGGCCCGCTATTTTCAGTCCCCAGATCACCAGTAATACAGTATCGGAAGGCTAAGGCCCGATCACATGCGCCGCTCGCGGCTGCACATCTAGGCTAGCTCGCTCCGGCCGTATAACGTATATACTATCTCACTAACGCTATAAGCGAACGCGGCAGCATTTATTGCCTGCTTGAAACCGCCAAATCCCGCCGTGGATGATGGCTTTTTGGCACACTTTGCAGTGTTCACTGAGGTATTTTGTTTACTTTTCATTCTCAGCTTGCACTTTTACTTAATTCAATAGCAACCTCACAGCAGCAGTGATTAAGTGGCATGACAGCATATCATTGACACGCATGCTTGAAGTCATAAAAAAATTAAATTCATATTTCCAACATACTTCTAATCCATTCAGAATGAGTAAGAACTTTATATTTATAAAAGCAATAAACTTCATACCAAATGGTATGCACTAAATGCACGCATTTCAAACCTCAAATTTCGAAAAGCTCCATACCGTGGAGGCGGGGCACCCGCCTCCCGCCGTCCGACACCCTCGCCCCCTAGTCCGAATTCTCTGACCAATTGCCCACACGACGATTTTGTGGTTTTCCTGTGTGGGTTAGGTGCAGGAGGCAAGCTTGCCTTGCAAAACGTGGAATTTCTCCGATCCCGCCGAGGATCGCTGTTTCATCGGCTCCAAAGTCACATTGGGCGCTATCAATCAAGATCTGACGCACATATGATCGAAAACTGGATCACCCCCTAGTCCTCTTGGTTTGGGTTACATTGAGTACATTATTGTAAATCTACCTCTTCCCTAGCTCTTAGTACTATATGCCCAGCGTCGCTGGCTGCCCAGCGGCCTGCGGCAGCGAACTCCGGCGGCCTAAGGCTATAGTACTAGCTACCACTCGCCCTGTGTGCGCTTCGCTCCCTCGCCGTGTCGCCACAGGCACTTGAACGCATTATCAACTGTAAACATACGGCGCCGCCTTGCGCGTAACACTAACACATATATAATTGAGCAGGTTGGCGCGAAAAGCGTGCGCCAGAATTTGCTCGGACGCTCGCGCTTGATTACCACGTCATTAAAACAGAAATCCTCAAGCCTCACACTCCATCTTTGGCTCTTTAAATTGAAGTACAGTTGCTTACTGTTTGTACGAAATATCATGTGCGCTCCCTCGCAGCAGAGGGCTGTGTCACTGCAAAATCGACCGAATTAAATATGAATTCTCGCGATCTCTAGCGTGCTTAGCGCGATTGGTGAAACACATTTACAGTAAACATGCGGGACAAGCGCGCAACGCATCTGGTAACCACAACGTTTGCTTTCCAATGGAATCTGTTAACACATCGCGCAAGCACTGCTAAGGACATCGCGAGAATTTCAATGATTTAATTCCGTGATTTTGCGTGACATCGTCAGCTCTGCTGCGATGTGAGACATGATATTCCTACAACAAGTAAGCACTGTAACTTCCAATTGGAGGCAAAGATGGAGTCGTAAGGTTGAGTATTTCTGTGTAATCCGTGTGTAATCAAGGCGAGGCGTCGAGCAGTATGTGAACACATTTGGGACTAACAGGGTTTACTAGAATCCCACCACTCCACCACAGAGTCACCGCAGTAGACGTTAGATGAGCGCTGTCGCTATGCGGCACTTGTATTGAAAGGACCATGAAATCTGCTTTCCACTGACGTGCGAAGAGTAAGTGTCTGATAACCTTTTGACCCTCAAGAGGAGGGGTAAACACGGATTTGTTGACTGTTAACAAAGAACTGAACTGCTTTTGCTATTAGAGCCCCCCCCCCCCCACCACCACCACTACGCTCGCGCTCGACGCATATCCATGATAACATGTTAATATAGTGAAGTCATTAAAGTTACACAGCTGTATCTTTATTACTGTACTACCGGTATAGCAAAGCCTATCAGTATCATAGATTTTAGATCTGTATTAGTGGTATCCTAGATATGTATGCTCTGAGCGCGAACGCGGTGGCGGGAGGGCGCGCTTGATTCGGTTGCCAGTGAGTTTATCAGAAGAATATTCGGCTACAGTACACGTCAGTTGAGCGCTGTCGCTCTGCGGCACTTGTTGCATCATTCCTTGATATACGGAAAGTCTGTGCATCAGTTGATGATACACAGCAATCTGTGCATCACTTCGTGATACCTAAGGTGCCTAAAGTAGATTTGCACCGTCTACTTGTCCTAAGTCTATGGCAATGCACATGATTCATTCATTGATTGCTCAGCCTGAACCTCGGTCTTTCTGGTTACATTCATCTTGTATCTTATTTTTACTGTTAAAAAACACTAGGTCCAAAAAGGCAAGATATCTTCTTGCTTGTCCAAGACTGTAACTGGCGAGGTTTCCTCTCCACTCAACATTTTCTGTTTACATCCCTTATCAGGGAAGCGTATACAGATTTTCCTTGAAACCCCCGAGATAAGATCCGCCAGATACTAATTTGTAGAGTTTTTTATTATTATTATTAAATCTTTATTGCATGAATTCAGATACAAATACATGTACTGACGAAAGTTTTTTTCATGGAGAAAAAATCTGATAAAAGCAATAGTGTTGAGTAGTTAAAATGATAAAATTTCTGACAGCTACAGTACAATTACAATGCTATACAACATAAAGAAAAAATGTATACAAAAAAAAACTTCAGCATATTCTGTACTAGTAAAGTGATTAAGACAACATGAAGAAAAAATAGATACCAGAAAAAAAGAACTTCAGCAGACAGAGTCTATACAAGTATAGTGATTAAGGTACACTTTAACATCTTTTTGGCACTCATACATACACCATTATATCAGGAGTGTATCAAAATTTTGATACACTCCTGATTATATACATATTACACAAACATACACACACGCACACACTTATATTTATATAAATATGATCATATACTGATAAATGCAATAGTGTTGAGCAGTTAAACTGATAGATTTTCTGAGTGATACAGTACAAAACTGCATACAACATGAAGAAAAAATAGAAACCAGAAAAAAACTTCAGCAAAGTCTGTACAAGTAAAGAAATTAAGTTACACTTTAAAATCTTTTGACACTCATACGTACACCAGTATATACATATGACATGTACATATTCCATACACATATACACACACACACACACACACACACTTACATTTATAAAATATAAACACACTGATAAATGCAATAGTGTTGAGTAGTTAAAATGATAAATTTTCTGAGTGATACAGTACAAAACAGTGCATACAACATGAAGAAAAATAGAAACCAGGGGAAAAAAAGTAAAGTGACAACATGAAGAAAAAATAGATAGTTTGTATGATATCGATATTTGTTTTGGAGATAAGAATCCCCTTCTCTGATGAGTTGCCTGTGGAGTTCATGTCGGTGCAACAGGCACTTGGGACAGTGTCAGTAAAAACAGAAAATAATATGAATGCACATTCACAATTACTACCCCTCAATTACACTTCCATTGTTGTGTCACTGTGTATCAACTTTCTTTCCCAAAAATAATGCACAACGCTCCCGCACTCACCGCTGCGAGTGTGCTGTGTCATCATTTATAATGATATATATATAGAGAGAGAGCTGAGAAGGTAGGAAACTCCCTTACGCGATTTTCGTCGATCACTCCTCGCTTCTTTGATGGACACTGGAGACAACTGGAGATGACGCGATCTGCCTGCAGCCAATCACACTCTGAGGCTGTTGCCCGCGGGGAAAGTGGGACTCGTGAACGTTGTACATTCCTGCAGAATCTGCACGAACTGCGAAACTTCTGAGTTTGAAGTCACATTACAAAGCAAGGTTGTACTTCTCGGCCACGGTAGTTAGTTAGTTGTGTTCAGTGGACTATAGAGGGCAGAACGAGCCAAAAATGGAGGTCGTAGGTGCCTGACAAGTTTGAGAAATTTGAAAGAGGAGTGATCGACGAAAATCGCGTAAGGGAGTTTCCTACCAAGTTCTCTATTATACACTTCTGATAATATTGTTACCATTTTTGTTTGTTTTGCCACAGAGAAGGAAAGTGAATGGAATGGCTCTTTCTGCATGATCCAGGGGGCTGATACACAGTTAGGCATGATTGAAGAATACCTTGAACATAAACCAAATCCAGGATGGCAGAAAGAGATTGAGCTGACACGACAAGCCGTCAGTGCCGCAAACAGGATGAACCCCAAGCCCCGCTTTTTCATTGTCTGCGGAGATCTTGTGCATGCATCTCCAGGTGGCTAGAAAATGTAAATTCTTCTCGAAAAACTGTCTACATCTAGACTTCAAAGAGAGTCAGCAGGGAGCTGGTAAATTTCAGCTATATGTTTGATCGCCTGAGCACTGCCATAAAACTTTACCCTGCGGGTGATAGGTCGAGTACATTTGATATACAAGAAAAACAAATCACTAGTGTAATCATCAGAAGCGTAGCTAACCCATTTTTTCTTGGAAGGGGCAAAGCCATGTACATTGTATGTTCTGGGAAGGTGACCACCTTTGACCATGTATTGTATCTACTTTTTCTGGGGGGCAACTGCCCCTGTGCCCCCCCCCCCTTGTCCCCGTCCAGCTACGGCCCTGGTAATATCTCGCACGTGGACAGTGTGTCTAAAAGCTTATTAATTACCTGAGTTCAAATGTAAGAGGTTTATGTTTTTATCTAATGGCATTTTGTCTAAAAAATAGCTTTTCTGAATAGTTCTCAGTAAGTTGTCTGTCATCTCCAGTGAAGATTGATTTACATGTTGTAAAAGGGAAGTCCCATAAAGAAGCACAGGAGAAGGACTTCATAAAGTTGTTTTCGGAATTGGACAGTGACATCCCCCTGGTGTGCGTTTGTGGCAACCACGACATTGGAAACACGCCTACACATCAATCTGTTCAGAACTACAAAGCCACATTTGGTGACGACCATTTCAGGTGAGAGGTTATCTCTGGTATGTTTTACCTTCACAGTAGAATATTAATTATGTACATGTAATTAAAATGTGATTTTATTCAATGGAATAACATTTAGTCATAAAGTTTCATAGTTACATAGCTCAAACAATGCATAAAGTTACAGTTTTTACAAAGGGTTATTTCTAAGCAATTCTCTAATTGCTTAGCAACTGCTACTCTGCATTGCAATAAGTTAAATTCTTTTATCATTATCTATTGCTTTTTGTTGTAAGAAACGTTTAGAAGTGGCTGTTTTCCTCATATTTACAGTTTCTGGGTTGGCGGAGTCCACTGCATAGTATTAAACTCACAGTTCTTCAAAGATGCAAGCCAGGTTCCAGATCTTTTAGAAGAACAAGGTATGCATATAATATTTTTATAGCAATAAAATCGTCATCAGTAGGCCCTAGTTCTTGTATGTGCATCTGTGTCATGCCTGGTTCATTGAGTTATTGCATTCTATAACAAATTAAAGGCAGAATGAGTAATAATGCTGCATAGTTTATGTAGCCCCCCCCCCCTGTCAGTGAGTAATAATGCTGCATAGTTCATGTAGATAGGCCCTAGTTCTTGTATGTGCATCTGTGTCATGCCTGGTTCATTGAGTTATTGCATTCTATAACAAATTAAAGGCAGAATGAGTAATAATGCTTTATAGTTTATGTAGCCCCATTAAACTGTCAGTGAGTAATAATGCTGCATAGTTCATGTAGCCCCCCCCCCCTGTCAGTGAGTGGAGAAGCGAACGTACATACAGATGTTTACCTCATCGCTTTCCTGAAAGCCGTGGTGACATTGTGTGGATCACTCTATAATCCCCCTTGTGTGTCTTCATGCTTGCAGACGCCTGGCTGGATGCTGAGTTGAAGCAGACGGGTTTCCAGCACCGCATCGTCTTCCAGCACATTCCCTGGTTCCTGCACGAGGCGGATGAGGAGGACGATTACTTCAGCGTCGACCTACGTGTGCGCATGCGATACCTCGACAAGTTCAAGGCTCACGGTGCGAACTTCACGCAGTTGCGCAGGCAACGTTCCACGGCCCAGCATGATGCTATTTCCCTCTGTGGGTGGGGGGGGGTGTTTCATCCAAAGTAAACTAACCTCCAAAAGTGATAAAATCGTGTATATAATAAGTAATGAGAGTCATGATTTTTAGTATTTCGGTATGTTTTATGTTTGCATACAATAATGTACTTGTAAGGTTCACAAAAGCTGTGTGCTAGTATACGTCAATAAATTAATAATAATAATAATTATAGTACCATTAAAATTGTTATTATAATAGTTATTGATATTTTCATTATTATATTAATAATCATTATTATTTTTAATATTATTATATCTCTTGCTAGGAGTGCGAACGATTTTCTCTGGTCACTACCACCGTAACGCGGGCGGCTGGTTTGGTGAGATGGAGGCACCGGTGACGTCTGCCATAGGTGCTCAGCTTGGCAATGACAGCTCGGGCATGCGCGTCGTCACGGTAACCGAGGACGAGGTGCTGCACAAGTATTATGCCCTTGGCGACGTACCGACTAAGGTCGATCTATGAGAGCTTCATTCCTGCATGTCTAGAACGTCTTAGGTTGCAATGTGGTCTTACAGTGTGATATGTTGTGTCGTAGCTTAGTGTTGCAGCATCATTGTAGGGAAAGTTGTGTTATACTGTTATTGACGTATAACATCAGATAATTTATTATCATTTACGAATTATTGTTACCTAATTTTATAACTAAAATAAGAAAGAGTGGATAAAATCTGCATGTATATGTATATGTATGTATGTTTTGTTGAAACGGTGCCCTACATTTCTAGGTGAAATAAGAGGGAGAACAATTAAGCATAATACAAAAGCTGTTAATTGTACACACGTGGCTGAGTGTTGGTTTTGTTGTTGTGTTGACCAGGTTCTATGTCATGTGTTGACAAATGTAATTAGGTTAATTACCACGTGATATCGATATGATAATAATAGTTCTGCATAACTACAACATCGCGACAGAAGATGTGGTGCGCTGTTATTGTGAAAAATACATCTATTGTTCTAACTCATCAGTTATTTCTTTAATATCGATTTTTATGCATGCTTTGCTATTAATTTCCTACTCTGCATTCTGTTAGAAATTTAAGAGCTGTGGTTAGCTTCATTGTAGCTGGCAGTATCAGCAAGTAATACGTACCTGTTGCTAAATAATCATGTACTTCCTAATCAAGATTAGGAGATTTTAAAGTCACTGCTATTTTATTATTGATGAAATTTGCTGTGATACGTGCTATAAGATAGTTAATTTATGTAGCGATATAGTTAAGCCTGTGTTAGCAGATATTGCCATAGAACACACGCCGTTCCATAATGCATTCTTTTTTAGCCTAGTTTCCCTTGAATTGTAGTTTTGTAGTGAAACCACCAGCTTAGAACGGACACCTGTCTATGAACTTGCTATTCAATTCTGTGATTGCACTTTGACCATAAATATTTGTGTGTATAACTTTCCCTGGCAGGGTTTCTGTGGCGCACTACTTGGAAAGCTTAGGTTGATTAAAAGTAGTAGTGCCTCCACGATTATAATGCAGCTTGGAATGGCATATGGTTCGTTGACTGGGTTGACTGTGTATTGACTATGACTATACATGTATTTAGCGAGATGGGGGTAGAAGAAACGATGAGAAAGATGGTTTGGTGTATCAGATAGTAGCCAATGAATAATGAAAGCAGATTAAATTAATTCCAAATATTCCCACGTCTCATCTGTTCGTATGCGCGTAGTTACAGAGTATCACCACCAGATGGCGCGCGTATAGTGTATTCGGGGCTGACTGTGCTAGCCAGGTAAGACGGCGTGAAGATCAATACATCTATTGGGAGCATATAGATAGTCAATCTAGATAGGTAGTGTATGTAGTATGATATTGCTATGGTAGCTTGGGTCGTGCGTGAGGAATTGTCCATTCCTTACTACAGTCGATTCAGGTCAGGTCAGGTCGATGATGATCGAGGTTAGAGAAAGACAGAATAGTTATCGCGCAGGAATTCTATTGCATATCGCACTGTCTTGAATAAACGCGTTTTTCAGAGAGAGCGCGCGAGAGAGATTCGGGGCGAGGTATCAATAGCGAGGGAGGTATCAATAGCGAGGGAGGTATCAATAGCAAGTGAGCGATCAATTATACTATCATACAAAACACCGTACCGGTTACCGGTGCTATGTAATGTAAACTCAATAACGTCATGTCTGTCTATATCTCGTACCATTCATAAATTCAGTGAGGTTTTGGAATGATGTATTTGTAACAGTTATCGCTATTAGGTAATATACATATTTGATTATTTCGATTTCCAAGCATTTGCTTAATAAGATTGCTGTATTAACACCATTTACATTGTTTCCGGTTACTTATCTTGATAGCTGAGTTGGTAATTCTAGTCAAACCAAGAAAGGCAGTGGTAACAAGCAGTGGAACTCCTTTTAAAGGGATAGGTGTAGTATAATGTGACGTCATGCTCGTCACGCAGACACGTCGGCCATGCGCGCGCACGCACCGCTATTAAAAACGAACGCCGGCATCTCTGTCATTGTAAATTTATTCTCGTTCTACTACCATATAAAACGCTCGTCATAAAACATACAAAAGCTTATTGACGGGGGAGCGGATCGTGCCTTACAGTAAGAGTACACGCTACGGTCTTACGTCGCTCCTCCCCATATATAAAACACAACGAACGAAGCGCATAGACGGACACTAGACGACGTTCCTAACGTGCTACAACATTTATCGTACCGTTACAGCGACGACGTGCGCGACAGACTAAACGTATTCTACAGTATATTCACGGTGCCACGTATAAGTCATATATACTATATATATAATATACACATATATATATATATATATATATAGTCGTTGGTTTAAATCATTTCACATCATTTACACCATAGTTTACTGCGAGATATTATAAGAATCGATATTACACTTGTTATTGAGTGGTTAATACCGTACAAGCGCACGCGCATATAATTATCATACCAACGGCATGCGACATGCGACATTTTGTTTCTATTTGTCTACTTATATTATGCTTTTTACGCGATTATAATAATGCACGCGTAAATTTCAGGCAATACTTCATTTAAAGTGTCACATAATAATTGATATATCACCGCCCTGAACATGATCGGGTTGGTCGGTACAACTTTATTATTTCATGTGACAGATTCTAACCGCAAATGTGCCAGTGAATTCTTTGTAACTACTCTGACGTTCACCCGTAGGCAACTTAATGGGCGCATGCGAGCTGTCATAGACTACAACGGAATTGTACAATCCCATACCATGGGCGTGTGGTGTGTGTGTGTGTGTGTGTGTGTGTGTGTGTGTGTGTGTGTGTGTGTGTGTGTGTGTGTGTCTTCTTTGAACTTCTTTTCTAGATGCAGTCAGTAAAAGCATTCTGGTGTTCAATCATTCTAGATTTGCAATGTCAACATTTCGTTGAGGTAAATGTTCGTGTAGGGTGAAAGCCATGGTAGCAGTTCTTGGTCTATAGCAGGGGCTAGAATTTCAACAACAAACATCAGCAAATCTTTATAGCTCATGAGATTTGCTAACATACCCCAAGGAACCACATTGAGAAGTCGATCTAAGTTGTCAACAGATAGCATTGCCCATCATAGGCAGTAGCTCTGTCACGGACCATATAACAAGGAACACCCTATTGTTGTGAGAAATGCACACGTGTTATTTTGTGTTGTATTCTCTCCTGTTCGCACGCTGATGATAGAAGGATCTCAAATACACGTTGCAATGCTTTATATTGGGCCACCAACCCCAACCCTAACTCTAACCCTAACCCTAACTCTATGCGTGGTGATGCCGGTAGGGGAGACCCTAGCAACATTATCGAGGGACTACGAGGATACTCTTTTAAGTGTAAATAAACCATCTACTAATACCAACAGATTGACATTCATTTATGTAAAATGTTTGGGTCTCAATATTTCTAGGAATACAATATAAACAACGATTTTAATAGCCTGACAGGGGAAGCAGCTGTAAAGACCCAGTACGTTAGTCCCAACCCTAATTATCTAGTAGAGGAGTACCAACCCTAAAGGTCCAGTAGAGGTACCAACCCTGAATGTCCAGTAGGGGAGTATCAACCATAAAGGTCCAATAGGGGAGTACCAACCCTAAAGGTCCAGTCGAGGAGTATCAACCCTAGGAATAGCCTATTGGCCCCTGACAGCCCCAAAAGGTCAGATCGAGAAATTGTTAGGGGTAGACAAATGAAACGTCCACGTCTCACGCATCAAGTAGGGCATGTAGTTGTTGGAGGCGACCTTTGGTTAACATAAAGTAGGAGGAGTAATAACTCTAGACAATCCTTCTATAACGCGAACACAATATGTAGGTGGTCGTCTTCGTTGATGGGCATACAGGAAGTTGCCCGTGTAGTCACGTGGGGCGGCCCCTGTGTTACGCGCACGCCATCTGTCGGTGATCATCTTCGTTCGTGGGCATATAGGATGTTGCCCGTGTAGTCACGTGGGGCGGCCCCTGCGTTACGCGCACGCCATCTGTAGGTGGTCACCTTCGTTGATGGGCGTACAGGATGTTGCCCGTGTAGTCACGTGGTGCGGCCCCTGCGTTACGCGCACGCCATCTGTAGGTGGTCACCTTCGTTGATGGGCGTACAGGATGTTGCCCGTGTAGTCACGTGGTGCGGCCCCTGCGTTACGCGCACGCCATCTGTAGGTGGTCACCTTCGTTGATGGGCGTACAGGATGTTGCCCGTGTAGTCACGTGGTGCGGCCCCTGCGTTACGCGCACGCCATCTGTAGGTGGTCACCTTCGTTGATGGGCGTACAGGATGTTGCCCGTGTAGTCACGTGGTGCGGCCCCTGCGTTACGCGCACGCCATCTGAGAGAGAGAGAGAGAGACGAAAGATAGACTAGATAAGATAGAGAAGATAGATAGATAGATAAGAGGAGGGGGGGCGCGGGACGCTATGGAGGTAGGAAAAAAGAAGTAACGCATCAGACCTTGCTGATTAACCATATAAGCTATTGGTTCGCACACAACAGGCGGGCAAGCAGCACACCACCACGCAGCAAACATGCGCACAACACCACGCACGACGCACGCACGCACGCACGCACGCACGCACGCACGCACGCATGCACGCACGCACGCCACGGCAAACAACGCACGCGGTATAATAGACGACTAAACAAGTAGCGCATGGTGATATGTTGCGCTGGTTCGTATTTAGCGGCGCCAGAAGAGGTGGAAGAGAAAGAGGAGGCGAGCGAAGCCGTCTTTTGCTCCCGATCATACATAATCTTGCCGACACGCGGCATCGGGACCACGCAGTCACAGGCAGAGATACAAAGTACCCTGAGTTCCTACGGCGTTTGCATCAACATCGTAGCTCCGAACT